GCAAGACTTCATCTCATGGACTTTGGGCATGTTGTCAGGAGAGACCAGTCTCTGGAAAGGACATCAAGCTTGGTGAAGTAGAAGGCTATCAAAAAGCAGGAACACCAGCGCGAAGATGGATGACACAGCGGCTTCAACAATGGGTTCAAACGTAATTGTAAGGATGGTGCGGGACCAGGCAGTTTCATTCTGTTACACAGAGGATTGCTGAGTTGGAACCAACTCAGTGGTAGCTAACAACAACCTTTATGTATGTGGAGAATGATAACAGGGCCAGGCAGGCAGGCACCTTACTGGAGAGGTTGGGTTAAACAAACAGAATTCAGAATTAACAGTGTATACATAAAGTTGCATACATCAAGTCAGTTCTTAGCTTTAAGGTTATGGGCTTTTAATTGCATTAAAGTATCTGCATCAGTGAGTAAGCAGCAGGATAAAAACAATGCGAATGTTAAACCATTCATCTTTATGTTATTAGGCAAGAAATTGTCATTTAGCATTTTCATTCCCCCAGGATGATCTTGAGGGTCTGGAAAATGGGAAGGCCTTCTGCACTGTTTTCCCCACCCTCATAACCTTGACTGGACGTGAAGAGCAGCAGGGGGAGCTGAGGCTGGATTCAAAATGGGGCTGGATTATTTTTTTAAGCTCCCCTCTGAGTAATTCTAGTGTGTCTCCAAGGCTTAAAAGAGCATCAGCGTGTGAAGTCTTGGACCAGAACTGGCCGGGTGGCTCTACTGGAGTAATGGGGGTGTGGCTGGAGATGACAAAGGCTCATGGGAATTCCTAGCTCAATTCCAGAGGCAGGCTGGGAAAGAAGGCCTGGATGGGTTGTCAGCGTTCTGATGGGATGTCGATACTTCCTGCGAGGCAGCAGGAGGAGCAGCTATGCCCACTGCAGGCTGTGTCCAGTGATCTGGGGGCCAAACACAGGCAGAACTTTGGTGAGCAGAATGGCAGTGGTGCTTGGTGCCTGTGCCAGTGCCTCGTGTGTTTGCTGGAGAACAAAAGGGGACCTTGGTGATGTTATTACCAGCTCAGGTTGAACAATGATACAGCTTTCATGCCTTATTTTGCACTTGAAAAAAAGTCATTTAGTTTGCAAGAGCATTTGACTTGGTGTTGAATGAGTTTTGACCATTTGTAGTCATCAAAATCTAAAATTCAAGAGCCTATATTGCAATTATTATCAACAGAAAACCTGTCTTACTCTATTTTTAAATTTATTTTTTGGAAGAATTTTTTATTGTGAGTTAGGTGGAAGGGGTTTATCTTTCAGACCATCAGCTCTGTGTTCAGCAGTTCAAAGTACTCAACAGTCTCATCCCCTGCCACCACCTCCAACCTGTCTTCTGAGTGTGGTTTCTGCCGTGTTACTTGGCTACTGAAGCAATCACCCATTTACTGGAGGATGAATGAAGTAAGGAGCCTCTGAGCTTCACTCAGTGTTGTGCCCAAGCTCACACAGAGATGAAGAGATGCCAAATGGAACGTGGTGTGAACTGCCGTGAAGTGACTGCATGCACGGTAACCTAGCCCTGCACCATGGAAGCAGACACCGCACGGTCCTGAGCCATCCAGCTGAAATAGGCTATGGATAAACTTGGGAACAGAGGTCACACTGTGATTAGCACACTCAAGAGCTGGTACTGCAAACCCACTAGCTGCTCTGTGGGTGAAAGACTTGGCTGTTTTCGTAAAGATTTTTCAGCCCTGGGAACCCTGTGGGGTGTTCTACCCTGTCCTGCAAGGATCACTGAGTCGAAACCCACAGGACAGCAGTGGGCAAGAAAGTAACACTCGAGAGGAAAATTGGTTTCTACAAACTTTAAATAGGTGTAAAGCAGAGTCTTCAGAAGAGGTGGGGAGTGCCAGTGTATTTGTGCTGAGTGCAAGTTCGGGTCTGAAAAAGCAAGGCTGCCCTTAGCTTTGTGACCCCATATTTGTACTTTGCACTCTGGTTTTCAGTCTCCTGCAGTTGCTGCCTCCTCTTGGCTTGCGGTGGCTAAGCAGTGGATGTTGGAAGTCAGGGCCACGGATGTGCCTGCCATGGGTGGGGCAGCTCCAGGGTCTGCAGCTGCCTCTTTTCCTGTGCTGACCCCAAGACAGGCCAGACCTGGTCCCCCTCTTCACTCTCACTGCCTCGAGTAGTTGCAGACTCATAGCGATGCTATGGGACAGGGTAGAACTGCCCCTGAGAGTTTCCGGGGCTGTAACTGTAACTCCTCATGAGTGCTCCCCGGGGCCAGACCCCAGGGTCTGTCCAATCTGGACTACGTCTTTATTGGGAGACCAGGGTACTCAGCGTTTATGAAGGCTAAGGGCTAACTGGTGGGTGC